TTGTATGATGAAAAAAATTATAGTTTTCATCTTTTATACAATTGGCAAATGTGAAAAAAAGTAGTGATGATCTTCTGTTTCTTATGAAAGAACAATGACAGTTTATTCACTGAAAATCTGAAAATTGAAGAACATCTCTGCTCATTCAGCTTCTGCCAAGTCCTATAAGGGTTCCTACCACAGTCCCAGCTAATATAACAAGGCCTGCCATGGTTCCACCCACACCTGCTCCAGCATGGATCACCTGTAGGGGGAGACATTGAGTTTTTAGCAAAGACATAACTGTAAAAACTTCACAAGACCAGATCACACTAGCTTCTGCATGTCGTGATTAAATTGTCAATGCTTCAGCATCCTCTGACCTACCTGTCGAGATGTGCGCTTTCCATAGCGTAGATCGTTAGCAAAGTGTTCACAGTTAAAGCTAACCAGGTTGTACGGCATTCGAGCACCAATGAATCCACTGGCCTGCTTCACAATGGCATAAATCTTTTGAGGTTGGCATGTTTTATCCAGGTAGTTGTTGATTCTCCATCTGTCACCGTTCAACACTTCCTGCAGCTTCTCTTTCATAACAACTCCCATCTCTCCTGGTACCGGCACCCTGCTGGAGCTGCAGCATAAACCTGGGCGGGTGAATGTGTAAAAATACTTAAAGATTTAATAACAATTCATGCAAACATCCCAGAATTTATTCAGTTTCAGTTTTTTTGACCTAAATCTATAAATCAAAATGATTTCAGCCAGAGGTCAGCAGGTGGAGGACTGCTATGAAACAGGCCACCATCATAGAGTTTCTGCAGAGCAGTTTATATCAGACATGGGCAATGTTGAGTCAACAAGTCATCTCCATGTCATGTATTTAATCTACCCAGCAAATTAACCAGGTGAGTCCAATCTGCACAGGTTAGTTCACAGTGAAGATTGGATTCACCTGCTTCAGTGGCTGGGTAGAACAAATAAATGACATGGAGATGACTTGTTGACTCCACATTGCCCATGTCTGGTTTATATACAATATACTTTATAAAATACGTACATTGCTTTTTGTTCACTTACTAAAACATAACAGACAATATAAGTGAAAGGCTCACCATTTACCACAAAGTGAACGACGTATCCGCTGCCGATGTACACAGCCCAGTGCTTATAGCCGACACGGAAGATCTCAATCAGATCTCCAGGCTTTGGATCTTTTCCATTCTGTGGTTAAAGGCCAAACATACAAGATGAAGTTCTTCTTAACCAATAAAGTTAACAGGAAATAAAACCTCTAGCTAAAAAGTTTCTGACAATCCTATGAAAATCGTAAAAAGTTATAAGGCTTTCATTCTGTAACCAAAACATCAAAACATGTTTTCTAGTGAAAATAGTTAGCTTTGGTACACACACTGATTCCCAGGTACAGTACCCATCACCACTTATGCATGAGATCTGGTTCAGATTACATAAAAATAATGAAAAAAAAACAGAAAAAAAAAATTTAATTCTAAATTCCCAGATGGCATTGCTCCTAGCTTAGTTCATTTGTGCAACGTGTTTGTGATTGAATCAGGGTCACTTCCTACAGTTGGTAATGGCTGCCTCTTTGGCATTTTCTGCATCTAGAAGGTACATCACTCTAGACTCAAGAATGTTGCAAATGATTGTATAATGAGCGTTGAAGTACGTGAGCAATTAAATCAGCAATGCCTCCAGTACAGAACCAGATGGTAAATCCTCACTGGCGGTTCTTTGTGTGTCCAACATGTTGGCAGATCTTGATTTACCAAGAACTGCCTCTGAGGAAAAAACAGTCTTACTCCCCCATCTATCATGATTCTTTCATTAATTAATATTTCCCTAAATTTGATTAGATAATGGGGACAGGGGGATTGACATCATCTCCTAGTTTCAAGTTAAGGTGGCCAACCACCCCTTGGAAGAAGGAACTTTATATGTCTTTTTAATTTCAGCATAAAATCAAGTCTTTATGGAAAGAGAAGATTCATCACTTTGGAGGGTTGGAAGGTCATTTCTGGTTGTCACTTATTTATTTTTCAAGGAGTCAGCAGCTGTACTAAAATAACATGTGATACTCAGCCACAGAATGAGCAAATTCCATGTCGAGCCTTGCAGAAAACTGGATCGGACTAGAAATAATTAGTCAAATAAGCAGTTGGATTAAGTTTATTCACCCAAAGAGTTCTTAATTTTTTTAACGGTTGAAAAAATGACACATACTAACAAAGAAAGGCTGAAGAATGAAGTAAACTGCATTAAAAGAACCAATCACCACCGAAAGCTTCATGACCCAAACATCCTGCTGCCAGTATTAGAAAAATGAAACTAAGAGGGATTTTAATCTGGTGGATGATTTCTGTCTCTGCCATAAAAGAAAAAAATATTTTAAACCAAATATCTGACATTTGGTGATAGAAAATAGATGATTTACTAACCAGATCTGTATTTTCACCCTCCTGATATTCTGGACTTTTAGCACCTGGAAGTACACATTATATACACAATTAATCAATTCAATTTATCTTTATTGCCATTGTCACAAGAACAACAAAATTTTAAAAAAGTGCCATCGATCAGTGCATATGCTTAAAAACAAAAACAAAAATCACTGTCCCACCATTTACACACAATATAGGAAATAAATAACAATAACTGATACAAAACAACTAATAAGAATAGTACATTCTCACACACATCATCCATGATGACTAATGGTTATTTTTGGTTGCATTTATTTTTGTTATTGCTGTCGGCAATCAGACTATTGATGTAATGTTTTTGTCATAAATTTGAAGGTAACTATGCTGTGATCTACCATAAAGGCTGACAGTCCCTAGAGGTCTGACAGACTTCTGTTTTGTGGAGAAAGATTGACCTGCTGCTTTCTGTAGCATCATTTAGTTTTAATATATTTAGTTTTGTGAAAAAAACATTTGGATTTCTAACTGCCTGCTTATGAAGTAAGATTAAAGAATGGGTAATAATTATTTCCACAAAATATCTGAGGTATAGAAAAGCAAGAGAAAAGTATAGAATGAAAAGGGAACTTTGGTTTAAAAATCTTTTCAACATACACAATAAGGCACTGGTTTTTTATATTTTTTTCCTTAGAATATTTATGATTACTTAATTTAATGACAAGAATAATACCTAACATTCTTTCATCATATTCTTTCTATTTCCGTATCATTAATTTTAATTTTGGGATGTTGTTTAATTTTCTGATTTGCTAAATTTATGTAATTATTTGTTAAATTCGGTGATAATTTGTTAGTATCAAACCATTTATTTATTGTTATAAATACTCTTTCTTCACTTTAAGCAGAAGTTAATCTAAGTCTTTATCTGAGCAGTAAATACTTTTATCATCAGCAAACAATATACACTTCAAATTTTTCAGTACTTCACAGAAATCATTTATATAAAATAAATGATGAACAATTTTGTTCCTGATATGGAGCCTTGCCGAACAGCAGGTATGATAAATTTTTTGGGGAAAATCAATATTGTTACTAAGTACAAATTGACTTCTGTTACTGTGATAACTAAATAACCAAGCAAGTGCGGGGCCTCTGACTCTATTTTTTTCCATGGTCAAAAGCTTTTCTTAAATCACTGAAAATTCCAACTGTGTATTTTTTATTGTCTGTTTCTGTCAATGTTTGGTTCAGGGTTGAGGACCCAACTGCAGAGGTGAGTTATTGCAGTTTCAAAAATCCATCTTAAAATGTCAAACTAATCAGAACCATGGAGACATCAGGAAAACAAGCTCAAGAAGCCGAGGAGAGAAGAGGAACCAGCACTAAGGAACTGCACAGGGAGAGTATCTATGGTTGACTGAACAAAGACAGGACTAACGAGCTGATTGGGAGATAACGAGCAGATTGGGAGATAACGAGCAGGTGAGAACAGAGGCTTCTAGAAAACAGCTAAGGAAAAGGGAACTAACAAAGAAGGCAACAGAGGGCAACAAAGAAAAGCATTAAAACTCAAATATATCTAAAAACACAACAAAATAGGAATTAACCCAATAAAACTAGAAAATAAAAGAAAATCATGAATCAACATGAAACTGAAAACAAAAAAAAATACTTTAGCCTTTCTTCAGACTTCAGAAGATTTTTAAAAATTGTGAATGTAGGCAGATAGGACTGTAAAAAGTGTACTGATGGCAGTCACTGATAGGAAATATACTGGTGATAAAGGACTGATTACAAATATATATGAACAGTCTAACTATACAGTGTAATATATTTTCAACCAGCATCATATTTAGGTCAGAGCTAGTAGGCTGTTTATTTTTATATTTTTACTATTTGTATTATTTCACTTTAATGTACCCTCCTAATAAACACTGAGTTAGGATTTGGTCTAGTGGTTTCCTCATTTGGTGCTTTTGCTTCCCTAGAATTTGACTTATTTGATAGACCAGGCCCAACATTTACAATAAAAAATCCTTAAATACATTTAATTCTTTCATTTGTATTTTCGATTGTGTGGCATTTAATTTCCATTCCTAATTGCGGATAACTTCATTTAATATTTTCCAGGTCTCTTAACTACTGTATTGTATCTGCGCTGTTTTAAGTAGTTTCTGATAATAATCCTTATTGGTTCTTATTATATTTGTCAGTTAATATTCATTTGCCTTATATCTATATTCAGTTTCTTTTGTTAATGTGTAGTTTATAAAGGTGATTCTTCAATTTACATGCATTTTCTTTGCCCTTAGTGATCCATGGTTTAAAATAAAGTAACTTTAGATGTTATATATACCTTAAAGTTTAATGAAATATAATTTAAAAGTTAAATAAGGCAATAGCCCCATGGTGAGTGCGAAGGGTTAGGGGGAGGAGATGAATAGACATATGGATTTATTCTAAGAACTTTTCAGTTTTTATGGATTTTAGGTATTTTAGGAGACAAAATGTCTCGACCCAGCTAAGAAAAATATGGAGGACTTACTAGAAGATGAGCTTCCCATGATGTCTCTGAATTGGAGAAGAAACTGACGTCTGAAGCTGAAATAAAGCACTGAAAATTTTAGAGAGAGAAAACATAAAGAGTTTGAAAGAAAACATGTTAAACTGCCCCAGAAAGTTGAATATCTCTGTGTAGCTGCAATAAGAGAGATATGCAGACTGAGAAATGAAATGTCCTTCACTGCAAGAACTTTGTTATCGTCACTGTAAGTAAAAGAAAAAAAAAATCCCTCTCTTCAATTTCTGCAAAATATTTCTTGGCCTTAAATACAACAAGTTGGTCCTAGAACATCAAGAAAAAAACCTGGGAGGTTTTTATTTTTATAAAATTACGTAGCTGTTTTGACCAGCTGTTAATGATAAGTAGATGTAGTAAAACAATAAAAAACTTTGAGTTTCTGACTGTTGGAAATGACCCTTAACTGTGGTGCAGGTTTAGCATTTCTTGGGTTCACAAACTTGAACGAACAATAAATGTGTTCATTTTAAATTTGTTAATATGCAGAGGATAAAAAAAATAAAACCACCTTTTCTGTGAAAATGATCTTTATTTAATTGTTATGTTTGCTTCTATTGTATTTCTTCTGTCTTTTTTATCTGTCACTGGAAACATAGATGGAAATAATTGAAAGTTAAACTTGTGCTGCAGATCTTTTCTCCTTTTGTAAGTTTTTTTCTATACCTAAAACCAGAAAAACAAAAGAGTGAATTGTTGCTGCAGGGCCTGAATCAATGCTATGCAGCATAACCTGTTCCAGGACCTGCATTTTAAAGCTGAGCTGGCAGCTCTGTCTAAACCTCATAACTTTAATGTTTATTCTTTCTTTGTGGATCTGAATGGTTGAAACCAGATGGCCTTCATTATTATAGTCGTTGCACTCCTCTAATTCATATTTACTCCTATTTAAAAGATTCCTCGAAATCTTGAACATTATGCACAAAAATGTGTTCTAATCAGTTGCTTTCATAACTTTTAAATGGAATTTAACCCCAAAATTGAATAAAAATGTGCCATTAACATCAAAGCTAAACCTGTTAACACGAATGTCAGCCATTTAACAGCAGTGAATGCATTAAAAGTTAACATATAAGAAAGGAAGAGGTGTTTTTAATGCTTTGTTCGGATGGAATAACATTAATATTTATGTCCTCAGAATTCACAAATACATCTGTTTTCTAAGAGGACAGTAAAGTTAAACACTTGTTTTGAATAAAATCTTAACAAAGTTATCATTTCAAATGCTGAATAAATTTTATAAGATCAGCAAGATGTTTTATTTTGAAATTGATATAAATATTAGGCACATTTTGTTTATGTTGGTCTAAGGAAAGCTAATTGGAATTTCTTCCATTTTTACTTACCTCTTTTCTGTTTTATTATTTTTCGTCATTTTTAGTTTTTTTTTTTTTGCTCCAACTGGGCTCTCTTATTTAAATTTTGTCAAACAAACAGAATCAGTTTCATTTCAGAGTGGGTTAGATGTGGAGGCTGACAGTTTATCATTATTCATAAATACAATATTCATAATAAAATCCCAAAAAGGGTTAACATTTTTTGTGTGTCCTTTCTGCTGCTCCCTTGCCACAGCGAGTCGATGTAACTCGCCTAAAGACTTTGCAAAGTTTTTACCTCGGATGCCCTTCCTTATACAGCCAGGATAGAACCTGAGTCCCTTACATTTCAGTTAGAGACCTAAAGCACCGAAACAATAGGACTAATACAGAAGTACAATAACAACATAAACTTATGTACAGCAACATAATAAAATGTGTTGACCGATAAATCATTTAATTAAGCAATTATAACAAAAGGTGTTAAATAGTTGATTTTCTTTAGGTTAGTTTTTCTTACTTTCCTTGATTCTGTTAAACGTTAGTTAGTTGGGGCTTACCTGTGATAGTCTGGCTGTGCTCCTCACATTAGTATAAAGTAAATGAGACAAAGGACAGTTTCTTAGTAAGGGTATAAAATTGGTTTCGATTTCCCGGTTGTGACGGTCAGGATGTGTTTGGACATGAATAATGTTTGCTTGTCTAAACAGGCGTGAACCTCCTCTGTTACTTCCTTCTACTCATGCTGGGGTTTGATTCACTTTAGATCAGGATTGTATTGCTTCTATTTGTTGGTGTTTGTTTTTTAAATTTTTTTTCTGTGCAAAACTTCCTCTTTTAACTGTATTGCCTGACATTTTGTGAACTTTTCATCTCCTTGCTCCTGCCTCATCAGTTTCACTGAATTACGGTCGTATACTGGTTGTATATGTTTGTGACATCTGAATAGTTTGGATCTGATGTGGACACCTAGATCATACCGAGTGTTTGCAGTGGGGCCCATTAGGGCTAGCGGACAAAACACTGCTGTCTTTGACAAAAATATGAGAGAGAAGAAATTACTGATTATTGGAATCACCCTGCTATCATTATATTAACCTGTTTGTTAAGTCATTAAAAATTAGTCCAGCTATACAGGATATCTTAGCATCCATCATATACATTAAATACAGTCTATATGTTTTTTATAAATTAAACAGATCTTTAAAGTAAAGCACATATTACCCTGTAGGATATATAATACTACTTCACATAATATTGAATTAGAATCAAATAAGTATTATAATTGCTTAGTTGACTTTGGATTTATTTTTCCCAGTGCTAAAAATCACAATGCCTTCTGTGCGAGTAAAGAAAAATACACAAGGAAGAACATTTTATCTCCTTTGGGAGATATTGCATTGAATAAATTGCTGTCTAACATTTCAATGGCAAGACAATTCCGAGTGCTGAAAAAGGACATTCTCTGTGGTGTAAACATCTGTTAATGATAACAAAGATCTGATATAGATATCCCTTTCTTTAAACAGAACACAGAAAAAAAAGATCATAATTAAGATCACAACTAGCCTATCAAGATTACTGGCATAAGCAAAGTAACAACCACTTTTATCAGACTGAATACCATCCAGTTTTAATCTGAGTTTTAAAATAGAGTGGGGAATTTTAAAACTGAAATTAAAGCATTAAAACTCAAATTTTTAATCTTGAACTGTATAAAACTTTGTAACTTCTGCTTATCTGGTTAGAATGCATTACCTATGTAACATTGGTAACATGTCATTAAAGTTATAGAGGACGATCTTTAATTTCCTGGTGGATCACCTAAATAATCTGTCCTCCTAGTTGTCAGTCATTCTGGTGACATGTTTACATAAGGCCGTCCTACGTGCTCGTCCCATTAACTATCTTTTTATTAACTATCTCGTAAGACCTGTTGTCACAGGCTGTCATTACACGGCAGTGGCAACTAATAGCACAGATGGCGCAGGCACAGCGCAACGGGGAGCAAAAAGCAATGATTATCTGTCCAAACATTCAGCTAGCTCAGTTTGCTATAAAGTCCACTATATAGTCTCCGCTCTATAGTGAGTGATTCAGGGATTAGTAGAAATGGGCTTTTGCATGCTCTCACGTGCACATTAATTTTAAAGTAGGGAGGGCAGGTCTTGCACAATACCTTTAACAAGAATAATTTTGTACTTCTCACTTAACAGAAATATATAACAAAATATTTTTAAGAATTGGTTTGCTGTTCAGGTGTGCCAGATTTTAAGTGGCTCAAGTGTTCGTTTGAGAGGTGTTCCTTCACTTTTAGTGTATCCTAGGTTTTTATATAATGTCCATAACCCAAACTCCACTAAAAAGAACAAGGTCAAATCAGTTCAGAGGTCTGGGTAGTTTTGATAGCTCACAGGCAACATCAGCAAACTCCAACAGCTATGAGCTTGAGGTCCACACTGGAATGAGGTTATCCCTTTGAACTGAACAGCGTTATTTTGCCCAAGGAGAATGCCTCTGTGCAAAAAAACAGAAAAGCCTCTAACAAGCTTTTGTCAGATTCCCTGATATACCTCTCCTTAGATATCTGGCCATTGAATGGCAGTCATCATCTCTTCTGGAAATTGGAGGTTGCATAACACGTTTTGGGGATTAAATTCATACCTTCAGTATTTCCACAAGCTTTTGTGGAAACAAAGTATCTTTCATGATTTTTAAGATTGTCCTCCAGCTTTCAATAACAAACAGTGGTGTCTGGATTAAGCTCTTGTGCCCGAATTGTGACAATAGTCCAGCAATATTGTATTTGGTGGCAAACTGTTGGCAATCATGTGCATCAGGTACATCAACAAGACCCAATTTTTAAAAAGTAACTCAGCGCAAGCTTCAGAGTTCCCCCCCCCTTTTTTTTTTAAATATTGCAAGAAGCTCTCTTTCACACTGTTGTATATGGTTCCATACAAGGTTTCTTCCAAGAATGGTAGTGGGAGGAGTAGGAAATATCTGACAGTTATCCAACATGTTACTACGATTTTTGTAATTGCTTTTGATTACTCAACTTAAAACTCATGTATGAGGAATGGTGTCTAAACATCTGAGCCTAATATAGATTTGCTGTAGAATTCTCCCCAGAATCTGTAGGGGAGACAGGGGGTAGTTATCACGCTGAGATTATCTTCTCCACCAGACAGCGCAACTTTTCTTCCTTTACATGGTAAGGTCTTATGGACTGACTGAGCACAGGACAACACATTATATATTTAGATGAGCACCAATTCAACATTTTCCAAAAGTAAAAAAATATTAACTATATATTTTTTAAATAAGCTTAATTCAGATAAAAATTCTAGCAGTTATACACAGGGCAGCTGGAAGTAATTTTCAACAGGGGGCGCTGTGAAAATTTCTCTCTTTTTTTTGGACTAAAGACCTATGAGCCTAAAGGTACGACAGAGTATTAGGGCCACACATGAAGAGAAAAAATATTTTTGCCATGACGAAATTAAACTCGACATGTCGACTTTAAAAGTCGACATGTCGAGTTTAATCTCGTCATGGCAAAAATATTTTTTCTCTTCATGTGTGGCCCTAATACTCCGTCGTATAAAGGTCTATTTAAAATACAATAAAAATAAATTAGTAAATAGACTGAGGTTCACTACTTTATTGTCATATACACTTCAGTCCACGCGACCAGGGTCTGTAACACAGACATCTTCAGTTCTCAGGTGAATATGTGCGCTATTAATTAAACTTCATAATAACACTATAACAATGTAGATTTGATCAGCTGGCATGAACCTGAGTCAATGTGTTTATGTCACACATGACTCTATTAACAAACCACAAGGAAATAATTATATTATTACTCTATTTAAATGTTATTGAAAAAGTCCATTAAACAAAGAACATCCATCCATCCATCCATCCATCCATCCATCCATCCATCCATCCATCCATCCATCCATCCATCCATCCATCCATCCATCCATCATCTAACACGCTTGTCCCAATTGGGGTCGAGAGGGGTGCTAGTGCTTATATCCAGCTGTCTACGGGCGAGAGGCGGGGTATACCCTGGACAGGTCGCCAGTCTATCGCAGTAAACAAAAAACACAAGTTTAAAATAACACTCTAAAATACTATGGTTACGTTAAATTGCATTAGTAGATATGAAATTGCACGGCGGCACCAATGCTCATATTCTGAGCTACAGGGTGCAGGGTGCCCTGGTTACAGGTGTCCATATGTTGAGGTGCACCCTGGGGTCATGGAGATAAATGTCTCTCATGAGTGGATGAATCCGAAATAAGCGCAGGGAAGAATCAGAAGGCAGATACAAAAAGAAAAACTCAAGATTACTCCTCATCAGAAGAAGATGAGTCCTTGTGCCTGGTCCTGCTAGAGCAGTTGGAAACAGCTGGAGAAACATGGTTGGAATGTATGATATGCAAAGGATGGACACATGAATAATGCACCCCTGGGAACTGTATGACAAAAATGCAACTCAGATTGAGAGTCTGACTAGAGAGATCTTCTTTTGTTCCATGACCGGTTCAAGTGTCAGATTTGTAATGTTTGTTGCATATGTTCTGTTATTTCATATTTCATGAGTAATAAAGGGGGATTATTTGTATTCACTCACTTTCCATTAAAAAAATTACAACAAAAATCATTTTGTCCTTATTTCATTTGTTGCAAAACCCAGTGTGACATCTTACCCCTGTCATGATAGGTTTAAGTGACTTAACCCACATGCAGAACACCACAGGAGACTGATAAAAAGTTCAATGATTTATTTAAGAGAAGCACACAATAATATTTATGAGCAGGTTCTGGTACTGGTCCGGGACTGGAATCACTGAGTATCTGCAGAGATGGATAGTTTGGTTAGCCAGGCAGCGGTGATGACTTGTCAGGGGTTTGATTCTGGATTGTACCTTGATGAGGTTCAGACTGATCGATGGAGAGGGGGAACCAGTTGGGTCCAGAGACTGTGGATTCAGCAGAGAGCTCAGCAGCAGCAGCGTCTAGCTTCAGGCTAGTGAGGTTCAGACCTTGAGTTGGTGTCCTAGCTCTCCCTTGAGAGCTGGCTGGGGAATCCAGACTGATTGTCTTCAGGTTTGGCTTCCTAGGGCAGGCAGGCAAGTTTCCAAGGAAAGCTCCTCCAGAGCTACAGACTTCAGTCGGGCTTTCCTGTGAGCAGAGAAGACAGAGGCTGGTTAGAATCTAGTTACTCTCCAGAGCAGACAGAGATTCTCAAATTAACAGAGGCTCAGGTTCCGCCAACCAAAACTGGTCAACACTCCGGCGAAGAAGACAGGTCTGGCTGCTGCTTATGTAGGAGGTCTCCTGATGGGCTGATGATCCTCAGGTGTGCTGGAGGCTCCAGTTCAGGAGACCCATAGCGCTCTCTGCTGGAGACAGGTGGCAGATCTCCAGATCCCAACAACCCTGCATAGTGTGACAACTTAACCTTTGGAGGGGCAACTTGTCACATGGTGACAATCTCCAATAGATTGCTTATAATTCCCTACTGACACAATATATTAAAATGAAATGAATACAAAAATATACCTGAAACTCTGGTCTTTCATCAGGTACATACTTGTTTCATATATGATATCTTAATTAAAAGAT